CCTTAATATTATAGTATATATAATCCTAAAAGTATAGTTTAAAATAACAGTTATTAGATTTAATATTATTAATAAACATTTTAATTTATTTTATAAAATATGATGTATCAGAAGTGATAATACGGCCTATACTACAATATACTTTTCAAATGAACAAGTTACAAGTAAAAACGGATTCATATGACCATGATTAATTAGGAAATTCCAAATCACTTAAATTTCGTTCCTACTTTCAACAAACATGAATCATTAATATATATTAATTATAATGTTTTTATATATAGCATTGGGTCAAAACCTCCAAGCTAGTGTTTAAAATTCAGATCGAAACCTACATACACAAATGCAATTGTGTTGTATGTTTTGATCGCACAAATCAACTATTAATTGAACGCATGTGCATATAAATTTTATTTTTATATTCATGTATTTATTATCTCTGAATGATACCTATGTTATAAAATCACTATATCAAATATATTATATAGTTTGATTAATATTTTTTCAAAATTTAAGTCTAACATTGCTCGTATTTTGTTTATTTATTTTCCTTTCAAAACTTTTTGAATCCTAGCTCACATTTTTTACTGTATTTAAACTAAATTTTTTGTACAATAAATTTTATAATTCTCTTTCACATTATATTTTTATGCAAGCTCCTTATTTAAATTTAATTGAACAATTGTGCATTTACATTTAGAACTTGTTTCGCACAAAGAAAAAACTACTTGCACATGTGCATCTTGTACAAGTAATTTTAGACACTGCTCCAAGCATGTATTTGTAAGATATCTTGTAATTTAAAATATTGTCAAATGTATCCCGATAAAACAGAACTATAATATAGTTAATTAATATAGATAAACTAATATCGAAACCCCCTCCTCAAAAGCTGAGGTTTACTACGAAATAAAATATTATTAAGTATATATAACATAAAGAGCAAATAAAATTGTAATATATATTTACGGAAAGCATACTTATTATCATGGAAATAATCCAGCATATAATAGATCTTCCAAGCAGTAATAGTAATGCTATAAATGCTTATATTCTTCGTTTCATGTTTAAAACAAATATTACTATGTCTGTCTAATTCAAATTCACATTTGCACCTATTACTAGTCATAAATTGTGGCCAAGCTATACCAAATTCTAATCCAAATTTAGTTATTTTATCCTTTTCCATGTACATTGTGAAATCACATAAATATGCATTAAAATGACGAAATTTGCTGGTAAAATCAGCATTATCGAATAGAAAAGTAAAAGTGTTAGTACAATCATCATAGGTTGGTTGTAGTTTTATTTGCCATTTATTATTAATCCAATCTCTTAACTACATAATTTAAAGATGGATGGTAAGTTATTATCAGAATATACTGTATAAAAAAAAATATAAAAAAACCACCTCAAGCTTAAAACCAGAGTTTAATCTGGAAATAACGACTTCATGCATTACCAGAGGAACGAATGAGTTCCACTTTTTATCGACAGTTCGAAGAGTACAAAAATCCTCAAATCTATTATAAGTCACTAAAACGTCAACAAATATAGCAATAAGAATGCTACCACTATTATTACCACAGTACTAACTTACTTAGTTATAGTAGCAACATTATGCAAAATTTTAATTTGTAATTCATTAGGAAGAAATTGAATCATTTTGAAAATTTTGTACCGATAACACACTTCATTGTTTAGATTTAGAATTTGTTTCGGTAATCGGTAATACAAACTCTAAAAGGAAAATGACCAATCGGAAAATGCAAAATTTTTAACAAGTTGAATGCTTGCTAAGAAATCACGCCATATTTTCTGCTCATAAATCGGCGGTTGCCGGATGTAGTTAAACGTTAAGCTTCAATACCCCCCGAAATTAAGACAACTAAGATACAAAACTTTGCAGCTGTGTATTGTATTAATATATAGACAAGCAGGAGGATTTTATATAGTGATTTGGAAATTAGAAAGATTGCGTGTGTTGGGTTTTAGTACAGATTATATTTTGTTAATTATAAAGAAATACTATTGCTACAAAGTGGAGTGACATCACGTATGTGTGTTGTACCACGGACTAACACTTGCAATAGGGGATCGCTACGGACACAGCAGCACGTGATATAATTCCCTAATTCTGCCATATTCTAACACTAACCTTAACTATAATGCAGGCCATGCTGTGTCGTTAAGGTTAGTGCTGGTCATTTGCTGTGTCGATAAGCTGTGTCTGTAGCAATCCCCTAACGATAAAGCCTGGTTGTTGATCCAGATCAGCAGATTAAATATGATTGGCTGGTAGATCATGCATTATAATATTTGTCATATCTGATATGGGTAAGTCCGTAACGTTATGAATACGTATTCGGGCAAAATTTCTTAAATTGAAATATTGATGTTCAATCAATTTTAATAATTATGGTAAAACTAGAATTTTAAACTTTGAACAAGAATTATAATAAATCGTTATATGATATTATGTGATAAGACTTGTGCTAAGGGTAGGGCATCTGCTCAAGAATATGACCCAATGAATTATCAATGTTAGATCAAAAGTGCCCGAATACTCATAACGGTACGGACTGACCCATATCGTACAAAAATCCTTTTTTGCGTAATATTGCAACCCTCCAATTGTTCGTATAACCCGAAGATTTTTTAAAAAAATACATATTTCAATTTCTAAAGTATTGTTTGAAGCTCAGATTTCTATAGATCAAATAGGAAAAGGTAGTTCACTTATATGTAAAAACAAAGACAAGTGTAAAATTTTTATCTGTTATTTTAGTTAATTCAAACTGAAGACTTAGTACTCTTATGGTCATTCAAATGATTAAAAATTTGTTTTACTATAATATTATTCATGCTCTAAGGTTGTAAGTTTAAGAATATGTATTATTCGAAGTACTTAAGCAATACTAATGTTTATTTAACGCTGCGAAGGTTTATTATAGAGTAAGGTACTCAAACGTTTTTCGTTCAAGCTGCTTTATTACGTTAGATTCGAATAAACTTTTATTACTAACTGTATAGTTTAAATAAGTACAAGCTCTTTAGTTGTAAGAAATTAGCATTTAATATTTAGATTTTGTTGGTTTTTGTATGTGCTAAGTTTGTTAACTGTAAACTTAAATTTTTTAATAATTCAAGTTTATTAATAATATCGTATTTATCGTATCTATCTACTCTCGAAATATATGTAATAAAATATTTTTGCTTGTAAATTTTTCTTATATAAATATTTTTAGTAGCATATTACAATTTTACAGTATTAGAGCGATAAATTTTTTAAAAATAATAAAAATAATCTAATTTGATTGGTTAATTCTCATGGGTAATCACGGGTAAATCACACAAATGTGTTCGAGACACAACATATAAATATTCTAATAAAAATATGTGCTATAAATACATCTTATTCTCCTATTCTTAAAGAATACTTATTCCATAATGTTCTATGTTCCTAATTATCATCTGTACCCCCTGCTCCTTATTATTATACTTGTATGTTGTGGGACCCGAATGGACCCTGGCCGTTCGGGGTGGGATATTACTTAATTAGGGAAGGAGTCGATCGCATCCGTC